GGTGCTTACATGTACAACTATATAATTTCGTTCTATAAGTAACAAAAATATTCATTGACGTTTAGGCATGCATAAGACGGTTAAGTAGTAGGATTCTCTGACAACAGACGATTATCAAAATATTTATAATTATATTGACTAGTAGGGCATCACTGGAATGGCTGTTCGGAAAAAGCCCCTCCGTTTATCGATAAGCGGGTAAGAGAGGGAAACAGTATATAAATAAATGGAGGTGAATCCGTCTGGTCGTGTGTGAAATGGAAGGGTATCCGAAGTGTGCTAGAGCGCGCTGCGGAGGGGAGCCTGGCGGAAGGCTTGTGCAAGGCCGTGGCGCGCGTCCCGGGCCCGGGCGCGGGCGCGGGCGTGGGGCGTGGGGGGGCCAGGGCGGCGGGAGGTGTAGCGGCGGCAGGGGCGTGGGATCATCGGCGATTGGCAGCGCGTCCCGGAAACGTGACGTCACAGCGGTGACGTCGCTCCCGGCGATCAAGGGCGCGTCGGCCGCCGCTGCGCCGGCGGGCTTCCGGCGCGCGCCCTGGCTCGTGACCCCGCCCCAACTCCCGCGCCCGCCCCGCTGCCAAACTCGGCTCCCCGGCGCCGAGGCCGCACCCGCCACTCCCTCCTCAATTACACGAATGCGCGTTTACTCACGAGCTTCGATTGGCCAACGCAAGTTATTGGGAGCCTAGAAAAATACTCCCGTGTTCTAGGGAATTTCGCGCTAAGTACTCTACTTATGTTTAAGGGAGAATGTTTTGTTTACTTTTCACTTCGCAAATAAGTATCAGAAGAAAAGAAATATGTTCTCTTTGCCCTGGAATGAAGTCACTCCGAATGTTGTTTGTCCGGTGCGTACACATGCCAGCTATTGAATGTTATTTTTCATTTTTTGAAATTTATTGTTGTACATGCCTTCATCTATAACCCACTATTAATTTGGTACTGAATAAATGTTATTATTTAAATTTATGCAGTCATTGGAAGCATTAAAATTGCTTTACGGGGTGCGGTATGCTTTTGCAGATAATTATATTAAGTCTATATGCACTGTAGGTAACGTACCTTTTTACACAATTGTCACACTTGAATTAGAACTTACAGTCTGTGGGCGTTTGGACTGGAACCCGTTTACATCCTGATGATCTTATGTAGTATGTACTGCACCCCCTTTTTACATTTTCATCTTATTATATACATACGTAGTAAAGAGAAAGTATCGTGATGCTGTTGCAGAAATCCGCCAGAAAACCTTGTATTGTGGGGTCATGGTATCGTCAAAGAGGATAAACCTTGTTCCAATATATAGTAAATTACTTCCTCTAACCATTTATGTAGTCGGAAACTATGTTTTGTGGATCCTTGGAACTGAAAAATAGTTTGAGGGTAAAATGTCTGTCGGTCTGCCTATCCGTCCGCCTCAGGTCATCACTAGCGCCCAAATCGTTCCGACTTTTCTCCTAAATTGATATTCTCTGATCGATCTCTAGGCGAAATCGATGCCCCGCAAGTTTGAAACGAATATTTTGATTGTAGAAGGTAATATATCCGAAGTATCCACAATATTTTAAAACTTTTCTCAAATGTCTTCAAAGTGATGAAAATTTGGCCTCTGATGCCATAAGGACGTTTAAAAATTGCCCATGTCTCATTAAGCTCTCTGAATTTTCGAAAACTGCAAAACTTTTTCCTACAACTACGATATTGTAGATAGGAATTTTTTCTTTAAAATCTATTCTTCCCAGATATTTTTATTAATAGATGTGCAATTTTTACTGTGGGTTGTTTTCGCCTAATTTTGCATGAAATCTTGGGAATTTTTAAACGGTTAATTTTTGGGAAAAATTCCAAAATTTTTCTTCAATTTTTTTCTTTGTAGAGAGCACTAACCGCTTAAATACTAATTTAACTTTAAGGGGTACTTGACATGAAACTCTTATGAGATTTTCAACATTTTCTGGAAAATGGCTGAAAATGTTCTGCTCGATTAGAAGTATGTGCATTCATAAGCATGTTGTATTACCGATTTTGATTAAAACATTACAACATTTTCTAACATTTAGAAAATTGAAAAAATATTTATATTTATAACACTAAGGGTTTGCGTTTAGAAAGAAAATTGAGTTTTGTACCCAACCAAAGTTCGTTGATTTCTTTTATTTATCGTAGTATGTTTATTAGATCGACCTCGGTGAAGTACTTCCAAAACTACTTTAAATTAAAGCAAAGTCTCTGTTCAAGATGGCAGTAAACTATTGCCCTTACCGGGCTAACTTTTTAATTAAATACGTTTAAATTAATAGAGGATCTTATAGAAAAACTTTTACATTCAAATATTTTTTAAGTTTTTGAAGTTATACGAAAGTACTTTCTTCTTTAATTCAATAAGTAGTAATGTTTTGGGGAATCATATAGAATTAAATGAAATATACCTCACCAGACATGTTGAGGAGTAATAAAAAAAAAGAACTCCTGCGAAATACATTACAACATAAATATTGACTCTCGGCCTTGGAGTTATGCTGTCTGTACAAATCAAGCTATTGTCACCACTGTTTCTCTTGGTGCACGAGATAAAACCACTGTATCTTAAACATTTGTACGACTCTCAACCACATACTATTTGACGATAATTTACTTTCATTATAAAAAATGTGGACTAACATTCAACGCTCAAAGAAAGAAAAGTTCGGGTGCCGAAATCAACTTAACCTCTACTAGGTATTGCCAACTTGTGAAAATTTAAATTTAAAAAAAGTGAGAGTCTTAATTTATTAGTAAACATTGTTTTCTTGAACAACTATAGAATACGTCTCTTTTAACTATTTAAATTAATTATTTAAACTCTCCGTTCACGATTACAAGTAAATGTAATAAAAGGTCGAGTGTGACTAGCGTCTGGCGCGAACATACGTGCGTTAAAACTAGTATATCCTCATATAGAAATATTGTAGATGGAAATCTCAGATTTTTTGAAAATTATGAATACAAATGGTCAACTTTCATTTTTTAAACATCTGGAACGACGGGTTTATCCCTGAGGCTGATGGTGTAAGGGTGGCACGACTAATGTGTTAACTCGAATGATCTGACTTCGAATCGCAGCGCGGAGAAAATTTATTATCAATGCTTTTGTAGTTTCATGTGGTATTACTATATTGAATAACCGTCAAAAATAATGTTAGAAAGTATGTACTGTGGTGACACCACTAGTTTTTAGAAGGAACAGTTGCAAAAACTGACCAAAATCAGGCATTGAGAATTTGTTTCTGTGATGAGGCAGTTTTCACAATTTCCCACGCTTGTAGTATTTGTTCACAACATCCATTTCTCTTCTTGTGTCAACTTATTTAATTCTATTCTAAGCAAATTTTAAATAAGAAAGATACAAATCGGTAACGTCTGTTGAACAGTGTACATTATTGTACGACTTACAAATCCAGACTGATCGCCCAATAAAGGTAAACGGACAAGATTTTGTTATTCGCGATTTGGAGAAAAAATGTGATGGAGGGTAAGTCGGTATGCCCTGATCACATTTTAAAAATATAATTTTAGTTTTAACGTTTGGCGGCAAAAACTCTTTTCACACAAAGATTGATGCAAGAAGCCAGCTTCCTGTTAATTGTTTAATCGTTAATTGAAATTAGTTTAAACAATGGCATTATGATAGATAAAGTACATGCATTGTAAACCTATTAAATATTAATGAATTAGTAAAATCACATGTACATACACACAGATATGAACTAATACGTGCCTAAATGCCCTCAATGGGGAGTACTAACTGGCTGTCGAAGCAAAGTGTTTCTCGTCCATATCTTGGCACCGCACTTGGGTTATGCATTCCACAGGTCGGGATGCGCGCGCAATATTTTCCTTATGGAAAATTTAGCCAGCAAGTATATATCTTGAACAGTCTCCCCTGAGATTCTTGAATTTCTCGAATTCGAAATCATAGGGCCCATGCGGACCTAGCGCATAGTATTCCCACTTTCTCTCTTACATTTCCGCTGAACGACTGCTATGAAATGCCTGTATTTTCATTCAGTGAAAGCACTTGGTCAAATTTTATTATCGCACGTGTATGCTTTTAATTCAGACATTTTATGAGTAATGAACGATTCAATGATTCCGTGAAGAAAACGTATGATTCAAAAAAATGTCAAACGAAAATATTTTTTAATGTTCCTTTTTCATATAACCAATCTACAGCCGTTGGGTGCAGTTTCACTTGTATTTTTTACCCAGCGTTCTTTGTACCTACCATTACGTTTTCTCCCTCTCTTCCTACCTCTACGTCTTTAAATATGGGTGACACTTCAGGTTAACCACAAGTACCCAATACAAGGGCTGTAGAATGTGAAAATTATTGAAAATGAAATACAGTCTTAAGTAGTTTTGAAAGCTTTCATTTAGATTTTGTAAAGTTCATATGATAATGACATGGAATCGGGAAAATATGTAGGCTACAAGAAAAAAAAGTGCTTTGGTTGAAACAGGCGGAAGAGTTGACAAACAAGTGCACCAAATGACTTATAATGAGGCCGTCTTTATCAATTTTTTATATCAAAACATGAAATTTCCAATAGTCAATGTCGTTTCAGTATTACAATAATATTTGTAATGTTTCGTATATTGAAGATTTGAATATGCTGGTAGTGATGACGCACAAAAGAATAGTGTGATAAGATTCGATCAAAGTGTGCCACTTGTTTGGAGGAGTCCTTCGGCTGTTGAACCACAATTTAACATTGATAAAAATAAGTACAACAAAGGTCTTGCAGTGACAAGTAATTTATTATTCTGAGCCCCAGTACACTTGTAGATCCCTGGTGAGGTGGCGAGTTGCTCGTGGCCTCGAGGATGAGAAGTCGAAGTGACTGCCAGCAACGTTCCTCATGGCCTACTGGACACGGAACGGCAGGGAAACGAAGATACGGAGACGGACAGCAAGACGGCAAGACGAAATTTCGTTATACACACGACTCCAAGAAACAAACAGTTCATGCGACAGACGCGGCGCGCGCGCCCACTCGCTCGGGCGCAAGAGGAGGAGGAGGGGGCGACTTGACACAGCGCGGACACACGCACTCAGCCAGCGAAATGCGCCTGAAAGGCGTCTCGATATTGGGAAAAGTTATACTTTAATTTGCAGCGCTTGTATGTTTTGAATAAACTAACTGACTTTTTAGATAAGGAGAATGCACGAGAATTATAACCAAACAAAATATGTTTTGCTCATTGCTAATGAAATGTGTTGAAGTATATGAGAAATACTATATTACTTCACATATTCATGTGTTTTGTCCATTTCGTAAAATGTTTGTATTTCTTGTTTGTAATTCGTTTTCTTTTCCCGTAGTTTACAACTGTTTGAAACTTAAACGTTCCACACATTACCAATTGAGAACAGGCATGTAGTTAAATATTCTGATTTATTTTCTTCAAATACAAGATAGAAATGGATATGATAAATGGTAATTCATTACTGCATCAATGATGACTGGTATTGTAACACTGGAGAGGGCAAGACCTTTTGCATTTGAAGGGAAAACTATCGGTGTCTAATAAGATTTTCCACGAAGAATACGTAATGTATCAAATCTAATATCATTTCATTACATTAGAAATATTACATTTAATTATAAATTTCTAAAGTCAGATAAGATGCCTGCCTTCACTGCTAACGAAAGGAAAATATGAAATTTATATTTTTTCTCTTAGGAGTATTGCTGATGTTCCACATGTCATAATAATGTTGTCATATAATAATGTTTTAAGCATTTTCCTTTCACCATGTTTCGCACTTAGCAACACTGCCTTTCGTTACGTGATTGAGGTTCACACGCATTGAAGCACGTACCCACCGGTCGCCGGCATTGATTACCGTGCAATTCTCCATACCTGTTTCGACGTGTAAACAAGTAATTGTGTGAGAGTATTTTTCCGTGTGTCCAACAGCAGCGTCTACCCAAAGGCAATGGAACGGTTACCTCGCTACCCTTGCGGGCGAAGGCCGGCGTGGGGTTAGGATGGGTGAGGGCGGCGGGCGCGCGTGCGGGAGAAGGACGAGGATGGACAGTGCTGAACAGATAATACAGCGAAGAGCAGTGACCATTCTCCTGGGAGAACATCGAGAAATACATAGTACTAATAATATACTTTAGGGGGATTCAATATATAGAGTTTGCTTTGATAGTATAATAGAACAATAATCGTATCAACCACTCACCCTGTTTATCCATTACAAAACAACTAACGCCGTGACGTGCGCGAGCGCACGTGTCTTTGGTTTACTGCTACTACTCGTGACGAAGTACTGCGCCAGCGTGCGGAGGGCCGCGGGGGGCGAGTCGCGGGGCGGTTCGCTTTAGCGGGAGAGCGCGCACGGGGCGAAGGGGCGTACAAAATCTATATAACTCTCGTCTTACTCTACGGAACGAAGCAACAGTATACGTCCTACGCTATGTGTGAGATTAGGCCATGTTCCTCTAGGGACCTCGCCCCCGCGCGCCCCGCCCGCGCCCGCGCCACGCCCCCGCCCCTGCGGAGACGCCAAGGGCCGATCGCTACATAAAAAAATAAAATAGACGACTACCAGGGCAGTTCTCAGATCTCGTTTTTTATCTAGAATGTGTACGACACTAAACACTCATCTAGTTTCAGCACCACCTGATGCACCGCTCCTTTGTTTGTCGTCGTTCGTCTCCACTTAACACGATGCAATATTTCTTGCGGGAGCGTCGTTCTGCGAGGAGAAACGTTCCACCATGTGTTTAGGTTTACGCGAAGAGGAGCTTTCTCGCAGCGACCACAAGCCGCCTCCGTGGCTGCTTAGATGTAGCGGCCGAGCGCCGTGTAGAACTCCTGCAGGCAGGCCAGCAGCTGCACAAATGTGGGGCGCTCCTCGGGCACCGCCAGCCAGCAGCACGCCATCAGCGCGTACCTGCAAACACATGCATTCATTCATTTTACGATTTGAGGAAAACAAACTGATAAGGTCATTAGTTCCGTAAGTGTAGTGCTCGTTATGTGTAGGGATGTGCCGACGTTCCTTGCCCCCCTAGAAAGTAGGATCTAGTGCTGACCTACACGTCGGCGTGCGGGGAATTCTCCCGTCTAGATATCTCCTCTATCGGAGTTCCGCACTAGCGGGTGTGGCCCTGCACACTGAGCACACGTTTACCTACACTCTCGGAATCCGTTGGTTTACACCGGTGATTTTCATATTGGCCACTGGTTTAAAAATAATTAGTTGTGTTTCAGATATCTCAATTGAATTTCAGAAACAATAACTTGAAATTCATTCTAAACTCCCCAATGCGAAATCCGGTACAAGTTATTAGGTCCACAGTGAAGGCATTTGTGTATACTCATATTCGAATTCCAGACTTGAAACTTGAAGGCATTATTGAACATAGGCTTGTTTGTCTAGAGAAGGGTAGAAGTGAATAATGGAACAGGTTTATAGATGGCGATTGCGTTCGAGCACATGTCTCACAACAATTCATCAATCTGCTGTATTACCAATGGAAATTATCCCATCTCGATAAAATTGGATTATGAAATCCTATTGATCTATTGATGTGTTTGGAAATCAAAGATATTCATCTGAATTGACGTTTTTGAAATAAAAGTTACAAATCTGAAATATATTTGATGATTTCCAAATTAAAATGTGTTAATCTGAAATGTAGTTGTTACTAAATACGCATGTCAGTGGTTTGCATTCATTACCGTCACTGCGAGTATCTATTAACGGATACATCATCAGGCACATTACCTCGCACTCTGAACGCCATAAGTAAGTTATTAAATTTTCTCATAAAATACAAATTATTAAACAACATAATTTCCCCATATACTGTTTTGATAACTGAATTGCAGTTACTTCCGTCTTTCACAAATGGCGCGATATCCTTATACTATTTGACTCACTTTTCATATTAGGTGGTCGTAAGTGTGGCAAAGTTATAATTTATTTCATCTACCATAGTTGAAAATGTAAATCAAAATGTGTGATTCACTTTGTCAGTGTGATTAAATAAATCTAGACCGTGAGAACGAGTACTTGGAGTTTTTAGGGTATATTTTGGATTTTTTTGTGAAATGAAGACTTGAAGAAATGGGCATGCGCAACATGTTAATAAAAAATTAGAAATGTACCGCGGTCGAAATTAGAAATGTACAGAGTTACTCAAATTGCCGTACGCTGAGTTTCAACTAGAACAGTATTAATTTTGACGGCGTAAGTTTTCTCTCATCATTTTCTATAAAAAATAGTAATTTTGAAAGTTTCAAACTAATTGGGTAAGAATAATAGTTATATTGTATTATTATTGGTTTATTACATCTGTTAACAATTTTATGATTATGAAAACGTTTTGTGATTTAGAAACTTTTCAATGTCTTCTTAAAGAGGTATGTGATGAAGTTCCTAAATATTGTTATTCAGAAATGCAAATGTCTGAACCAAGTATTGATTAAATTAAAAATGTAATGACCAATATCTATTTGCCTACAAAACTTTTGATTATAAAGCTTTCAATACATTTTTGAATTCCTTTACAAAAGAGTTGTTTTGTTGGTTTAGAAAATTTTGAAAATGAATTAAAATGTAACTGACGTAAATGACAATAAAATACTCATAGTGTATGTGTTAAGAATTACATGTCATGACACTTAGAGTGACATTCACGGAAGAGTGGAATACCAAAAGAGGGAAAATTAAAATTTAGTGATTGAAATTGAAATTGAAAAGTAAGTGATCAAGTAAGATATTGAATAGAAGCTGATGTAAATGACACGCAAAAGTACGAGGTACTAGGAGGATCAAATATTTTGTACATTTATTCAAATACACCACTTGATAATTATTTAAAAATATCACATTTAAAGAAATCAAAATAATAGTTTTGTTATAATTTGTGTTTCTAGATTTTGTGTAAAGTAATCAATAAATTAGGAAGAGATAACAATAAAAAGTTATCTTTCATGTTTTAGTATGATTGTTTGGGAAACCTTTATGCAGACTGCGTCAAAAATACTGAAATATACATTTCCAAAATGTACGATGGTAATAGAGCCTGCATAGAAAAATAAAATCCCAGTTACATTTTATGTCAAATCAGGGAACATTTCTCTAGGTCAGTTTGCATCATTTTCAAGACTCTTACATTCTTTTTAATATTGTATTACCTAAAAATGGAGGGTTGACCTCGAAGTTAGGTTATTGCAATGTGATTATCAGTGTGTTGATGGACGCTTAATGTGCATCAGATTATATGTATGTGTTTTGTTGTGATATTTCGATGTCAGCTAATGGCGACTACTCACAGCTCGTCGGGGCAGTTGACGGGCTGCGCGAGGCGGTATCCGTCGCGCAGGTAAGCGCCCATCTCGAAGGGGTCCACCTCCGCGTAGGGCTGCTGCGCCAGCGTCGTCAGCTCCCACAGCAGCACGCCGAACGACCACTAGGCAAAACAGCCATCACCGCATTAGCTCTCTTACAAAATGGAGTTCATTACGAGAAGGTAGCAACCATTTGGTGTTTCTTGTAAAAGAAACTATGGCTGATTGTATTGTATAACGCTTGACCTCTTAGCAAACGAACACAGACATTAGCGTGCCTTTAAAACTAATATGATATTATTACGTAGATGAAAGAGTTATAAATCTTTATTTTATAAAAAGGTGTCACTTAATCTTCATGCTGAAATATTTATAAAATGAAATAATAGGCTTTAATTTTTAAATATTGAAAAGGATATTAATTACATTGAGAAGGATTTTAAACCATGGAAAAGTTTCAATGAATTACTTGTTTTACTTATTTTATTTACTTTCATGATTTCAAAATTATTGTTTAATATGCTTACTTTTTGTTCATCACTGTTACAGAGGATGTAAATATTATAGTATTTCAGCATTCAGTTAAAAATATATCACAATATCTCTGAACATTACAAAAAAAATTTACCACATTTTAAAATTGATTCGAGGTAGATTGTTTCCAACAAAATTCAAATTAAAAGATGTAACAGCGTGCATACTGTCGACAAGTGTCGAGAGAGCACAGTGCAAAAATTGCATCAATTGTGTTTGTAGCAGCTTATGAGAAATGTATTTGACTGGTCAGATATGCACAATTTCTATTTTTTACACAGAGTAACATTTTAATATCTCATTGAGATCGTAACCCTTCGACAATTTACCTTGAGTTACTCTACCACACTGCAAGACATATGAGAATGATACGTATATGTGTCCTAGATTTCTTTTCTGCTGTGTTCACATAGTTAAATTTACATGAGTAACATGAAACGGCGGAAGGGATTAACAAAGAAAGAAATGAAATCAAGGTATAAGAAATCGTGAACATGAAGCCAGCATGCAATAATGTGTTCCCTGAGGGAATGCGGGGGCGTACAGGACCTGTTAGATCTTGAAGTCGCAAATGGAGAAGAAGCTGGGTGCGGCTGCTCACCACGTCGGAGGCGCCGGAGAAGTGCTTGTGGAGCAGGCTCTCGACGGCGAGCCACTTGATGGGGCGGTTCTCGTTGTCGCCCAGGCAGTGGTAGTCGGCGGGGAAGAGGTCCCGCGCCAGCGCGTTGTCCGCCACCTTCACGCGCAGCTTCTCGTCCACCACGCAGTTGCGCGCCGCCAGGTCGCGGTGGCAGATGCGCTGGCCGTGCAGGTACATCATCGCCAGCACCACCTGCGCACGCATTTCAGCGTCAGCTTTGCGCTGCATGTGGCTCACAAGTTGGTTATTTCAATAACTGACTCACCTGAATGCCCATGTCCACGATGTCTTGAGTGAGCAGCGTGTACTGTTCCTCACCTCGAGATCGGCAATTCTGCAGGAACCTATAAAGCATAAGAAAACAATTAATAATTAATAATAACAAGTAATAAATGAGAAAACCATAAAATAATCTTAAATATCTTATAATAAAATTCTTAAACATTATTAAGATTTCAACTTCTTGATAATGAATTCCTGATGTGCAAAGAAATTAATTAATCCAATAAGACTAAATGGAAATTACAAGCCATTCACGTTTGGGAGAATCCATATCATCTTAAAGAACGAAATTATTATTAAAGATGTAATTATTATCTGTATTTGAATGTAGCCTATGAGATGGAATTGTAGAAAATGTCTTGTGTCTTTACCAAAGATTTGGCGGAATTTCACTGCACGATTTTTGTACCGAACTTTCCATTTCCAAAATTGATATGATATTTAAGAGGCACAAGAAAAAAAGTTTCAGTCGCGAGGGCCTAATTTCCGTGAGCGAATTTCAAGAAAGCTCTTCCGCGTTGCTCACGTGAACAAGGCATGCGGGGGCGCGCTGGCTGGGACCTGTGACTTTGGAAAAGAGTACAATGCGTCCGGACACTTCCCAACAACTGCGACGCTCTAAGAAATCGGACCCAATGCGCTTCGATTGAGGAATTCGTGATACTTGATAGGACTCGAACATTCGGCACAGCAGCTGCTGTCCTAATGGCTAGTGGCAACGTCTGCTGGTGGAAAGTGGTTTTTCCTCGCCACGAAAACCTGAACCTGAGTTCTGCCTTCACTTGAATATTCTGAACATCGAAATGCAAGGGAGCGGTGGCCCACTGTGGTGTTAGGAGGTTGTCGGCCGAGCGAGTATACTTCGATTTATTTAGAGCTACACTTCTGAGCTGTTAAGGTTTCAACGTATCGGGAGCTTACCCGTCACTACAGTGATGTTACTATGGTGACGTTTCACACCGCAACTGATTTTGTTAGGGGCAGTTATTTTTAACTTCAAGTATAGCTAATAACCACGGAACTTATCTTGACCGATGGCCTGCCTTCTTCCAGTGAGAATAAGCAGTTGAAGATATACTCTCTCAGCATGCACTGATGACAACATTCCAAAAACATTTTGACTGGCGCATAATAAAAACGTTTTTGGTGATGACAACTCCGTCCACGTTTTTCTCCAAAAAATCTAAATAAATGATCGAAGCTGATCAACATCCATACCTCGGAACACCTGAGAAAGTTAAAACGCAAATTCTTGGGAAGGTTGCGAAGACGTGACTGATTTTTCAGTTTCAGATATTTTGCTTCATAACATGTATGTGGCCAATTTCGTAACTAATACCCTCACTCTACCCGAATTTCTTCAATCTATCGGTCAAGCAAAGTAGCGCGAGTAATACCTCTTGAGGTTGCCCTTGTTGCAGAAGGGGTAGGCGAGCAAGGGCGCGCCGGCAGCGTCGGTGCACGCGGCCAGCGGTGCTAGCACGTTCTTGTGTTGCGCGCCGTGCAGCATGGAGCCCTCAGCCAGCAGTAGCGCTACCTGGAAGCGCGACGCCTGGTCTGCAAAGCAAGCGACAATAGTAAGAGTTAATACAGTTATAGTGGATGGAGATAACAAATCAAGACAAGAACAAAAAATAGCTCAAGGGGAAAATACACACGTTCAAGGATTTCATTAAAAAATGCAGAAGAAAACAGCACAATTATGGAGAGAAGAAAGAGGAAACCAGTATTAGTGGTATGGGATAGTCAAAAAGATTGAAAATATTTACACCTCGAACAAGAAGAAGAAGGAAGAGGAGGAGATATTGTGGACTTAAAACCACTTTGACAAAGTGACAATAGATAAATTAGCACTTTGGCTTTGTTTTCTTCCAAGTGGGAAGTAATAACTAAGGGGTTGGTTAATTTATTAAGAGAGATTCCAGAAAGAAAAAAAGTAGAGCTGCAAAACTATCTCATATTTTCTCATAGTACGAATTAGTAACAGCTATATAATATCGTAACACTGCACTTCCATCGTACAAATACTCCGGCCATCATGTGAAAATATCAAAGTAACTCAGCGTTAGGGAAAACTACTAAAATTTTGAAGAGTGTATATGAAAATGCTTTAAAGATATAATCTTGAGAAATTGATTGAAAGAGAGAAGTGAACCTTTGTAATATTCGAAATTTTGGGAATATTAATGATAGTGGGCAAAATGTCATATTATGATAATAATATTGTTCTCTATATCCCAGGCACACATTTTGAAGAAAATGGGAGCAGCTTTGTACGAAAAGAACAGCTTTTGTACAAAATATTATAATAAAGTTCAAGGAGGATGTCCAAAAATTTAAACGTTTCGAAATTTTAGAGGTGTTACCAAACATTAGTTCCCCATCATTCTTGTAAGCGTTCTTAGCTGTATTCAGTAAAAAATTGGAAACATATGAGAGAAAAACTTGAAAATGCAGGAACTTCACCGAAAAGAAACAAATATGTTTGAAATACTTGAGATCCCAAAATCAGCTAGAGCAGGGAATTCCACCTTTTTAGTTCGTCGATTCCTTTCTAATGAATTGTTGGCTACATAGAACCCCTTACGTTATTCCCCGTAATTTATTGTACCTAATTAACACTCCCAGAATTGCAGGTCATATCTTTAAAACAACCAATTATTTTGGTAAATAACTAAATGTTCATTAGGTAATAGAAGAACCAATATCGTTCCAATATTCTGAGTTTCTAGGTTTCTAGCTGATCTTCATTTTAACCAATTGTGACAAAGCGTTGAGCGTGTTTTAACTGGCCTCAACATTCCTCGTGATCATATTGCAAGTAGTATTTTTTCTGGTATAGAGCAACAAAACATAATAATGAAAATATCTCAATTCGCTCTTCTTCGCAATAGAATATCATGTTGAATTCTAGATTTTGTTTGAGTTTTCTAAACATCTATTGCGCAGCGAAGTTCTGGAAGCCTCAGAACAGAATGTCGAAATTTGGTCTCCACATGCAATAAACGTGAAATTAAGAGTTTTAAATAAAACTGGTATAATATTATCGCTGGAGCAATGGTGAAAATAAGCAAGGAGTGCAATTTGTTTTATTCTTTAGCGATATCCGCCTGCATAAGCCTTGTTAAGGGGCCCCTTACTTTCGGGCTCCCGTGCGGAGCAACTCAGTTACTCCTTTGATCCTAAGGATGAGCAACGTATACGAACAGAGAAAAGCAAATTTGTAATTTATATAAATTGTTGCTCTACATAACAGAAACATTAATTTTTACGTTCATTTGATATCTTTGTAATTAATTGGATCTTGACTATACCTATCAATCGCCAGTTTATATTCGTCTACAGACCCCCAATCGACCCTTCGATCATCATTGACCCCCCCCCCTTCAAAATTTCATCGACTCTCAAGGGGACGATATCGACCCCGTTGGAAAGCCCTGAGCTCGAGTAATCAGGGTGTATCCATTTTGGTGAAAATCCTATGAATGATTTTGGCGCGGTTATTGTTTACAGACGAACGCACAAATAGAAAAAAAAAACATACTGAAAACACTTTATTGATATCAGGGACCACCAAAACGAGAAACACTGACAAAATCTCGACATGGATTTTGTGCGCCATTTCTTTACTTTCTTTGTACTAAGAGAGTGATATTTCTTAAATGATGTTACTTGTGTTTCATGTGAACAAATTCACTCGCCAAATGTGACAAAACAAGTGTCTCAAAAGTAGTGTTGCAGTGTTTCCTCAATTCTCGATTTTTATTTTCATGGAGGACACTTTTCCTGAACGCTTAGGGCATTGAGAGTTCATTTTTACTTTCTGGTATACATACGTATAAATGGAGTAATGTACTCGTATGTGAAAAATCCATTTCGAGATTTCAATGGAAACATACGTTTTGGGATCCCCTGATACCTAAACTTTTTTTTAAACGCCCATCCGTCTGTCTGTTTGTCCGCCGGGTATTAGACATTTGTGCGAGAAAACGGTGCTTGGCTGTTCCGTTCACCGCTGTGAACTCTACTAAACCATGCGTAGGAGCATTTCAAACTTGAAGTCCCTGTCTATCTGCCTCTAGTTGAAGCTCTGAAATTTTGAACAAAAATCTTTAAAATTGGTGAAGTCCCTGGGAAGTTTCAAAATTTTCTCAAAAACGGCTGCAATTTTGTTAAAAAATTTCCTGTAAGAATAGAGTAAAATTCACTTTTAAAGGTGCCATAGGTCTGCTTTTCAGGGTTAACTCTGTATTTTCGAAAATTTCAACTCTTTCAATTATTTCTCGCGTCTTCCTGCATTTACAAAATTAAAGATAGATATTTTCCGTTCAAATGAAATGTGTTGTTCATAATCAATTCTTTCAATAATAGTATGTACATGCTTTTAAAATTTTAGTAGTTTTGAAGCAATACTTCCAATTTTGAAAAATTACTAAAACAAGAATTTCTCAAATGGCCCTAAATTTATTGTTTAAACTTTTAGTCGAGGCAGTGTTAAAAGCAGTCTATAAGATACACAACGCCATATTGCTCTATTCTTTAGTTGTTTCAAAAATTACAAAAATTTAATCTTTTTTAATTGTCTCTCACATCATTAATATTTACATTAGCGACACTTTTTCACATTATTGTATTAAATAGTGCTTTAAATAATGTCAAATTGAGTATCTCGAAAACTCAATAGATTTCTGTTTCAACTACCTCAAAATTTCACATTTTCAGAAACACTCACACGCTATATTCTCAAAAATGGCTCCATTTTCTTCAAACTTTTCCACCAGATAGTGCTAATTGTACTGTTGTATGACATAAAGTTCATTTTGCTTTATTCTTTTGTTTTTTCAAAGATTACCCAAATGTATTTTTTTAAAAATATCTATTACTCGCTTAATATGCTAACTTCCAGCGATTTGTACAGTTCCTGTCCGAAACTCTTCTGATTGTCGGGATCTGCGAGGTAGCGTAAACATATTTTCATTCCCTGAACGGATGACAACGCATCTCCCCGAGTTTCTTTACTTTCACCAATAAATCTATCTGCAAGCCACTGCCATTGTCTTCTTCAAAACGACACAACTCTTTAAAATCACGTGGTCCTGTAGCTAAGCGAGGCTATAGTTTTTACTATCCCTCACAAACACACCTTCGTCATGACCATATAACAGGAAAACACAACCATTTACTTCAACGACGAATCTGCTACTAATCACACCCAGTATTCTTGAAGGATATCCTTTCGATTACGAGTGGAAGGTAATGGTTATACATTATCTTTTATTTCTAAGAGAAGTAAATGGTTTAAGGTCGAAGGATATGCATACATTCGAAAGGTATGTTTTCCTTGTTTCTACGCATATAGGCTTAAGGATATTCTTTACATTTCGCGAGTATAAGAATAGTCTTTCTAAACATACGGTCCAATGCTTGAATAGAATATCAATTATTTTTACTCTTTAATTTAATTACGGTTTAAATGATCATTGATGGTTTTTACTTAAAATTTATTTGAACAATTCTCATTAACGAATGACCACCTTAATTGTTTTTGTTGAAACCATGTGTACAACGTATGTCACAATTTTTTGGGGACGAGTAACTGATAAGGCTCTTATCCTTCGCGAGAACATGTCGAGCGACACCACCACCGCACACGGAACAGGCCCGTACGATGGCAAAATTTTCCTGTTAAGATCATTTTGCAGAGTACGTAATTTTATAACCAACGCATTTTGGCATCAAGTGGTCCGAGATGGATCAAACGTGCTACTTTCGCGACCGCTCTCGCGACCTTGTCTGCGCGTCCATGCTCGCCAAGGCCCTCAAGTTGTTCAATAAACCTTCCTCAGTTTTAAGAGAATTTCATTTAAAGCGAATAAAACTGCATGGACCCGAATTTCTACTACCACATTCACTACAAAAAGTACATTTGCAACACAAGTCAATATGAACATTTGCAAATAGAAATAAACACCTTTCTTAGGAAAGAATTTCCATGCTTATATTTCGTAACAGACCTTGACGCGCAACCAACCTAAATGAATTTAGAATTTTCTCTCCCACCAAATGGGAGTTATGTTTGCATAGTTTAAAGTACAATGTTGTAAATAAAAATTTAGTTAAATTGTAAGAAATGTATAATACAATTTTTTATACGTGTCAAAATGACTAATAAACTTTTTTCTAACAGAAATACGTAAAATATCGCCCAGTTTCGGAAACGAAATCACGATATGGAGTGATTGGCCTAATTCAGAAAGTTCACAACATACATGATCAGAAAGAGATGTTGAAAGTAGTCACACTTCACTTTTCAGTGACTGGTGGGAAACTTATTGACGGAGCCCTGAATTTTAATCTGAAGCTTAAAGACCTGTGGTAAACATCTGTGTCTGCTTGAAATACAAATTGTATTACTAGTTCTTCTCTGTGAGACCCTGGAATATATTATGTTTTTAATGGGCTTTCATTCGTAAACTAAAACCGCTGTCTTTGTGTTCAAAAACCCTTATTCCTTTACACCATGTATTAATGGTGTAAAGGACTCATTTTGACTGAAATTTGCAATTGAGTAATGATATATTGTTGCGAAAAAAGCTCTCGTGTAAATTGTCTCATTATTTAAATATTGATTTTAGTTTTCAGACATAATTCGCTCTACAATAATTGGATATTTCTAAATTATTAAAAAATGAACACTTTTTATCTGATAGACCTCCTGTGCATACTTATTAGACTATTGGTGTATATATATTAGACTTGTCTAATTGGACCTTTTAATTTGAGATCTTATGTTATTGTATCTTGTGTCTCGTAAACCTTCTTCCTCATTAGATGTATTGCGCAATAAACCTAATGTTACAGTGGGCTCACTGAGTAAGTAGACCTTCTGTCCCAGGGCCTAACAATCTGAAACCAATAAGACCTCTTTAAGACCCTCATACAATAACACGCATTTATCAGACCACAAGACCTTCGCTTCAACCGCTACCACATTGTAATAACTACAACGGTAGCCTACCTAGCCCGATTTGTTGTACTTGATTGTATATTATAAGATATATTTTTTCCATCAAAATGTTCATATGATCGATTTTTTTTCTTTTTGAGGGGATAAAAGTATGAACAATATATACGAACTTCATTAGCGCTGGTATTCTGTGTATCCTGTCGGTTGTGCTCGCTAAACTCTCACCTGGAAAGAACTACACCGTTGTTTATATTACCCTGTAAATAAACGTCAGAAAACTTTCTCGGCATTATTACTTATTTACGTATCTTTTACAATAATTTTATTATTTTTAAGAAAATATTAGTAACATAACAATTTCTCGTTGGAGTGGTGGAACATCTTCGAACGACTAAATTGTTGTTGCAACATTGATGTGGAGATACGCACCGGAGACGGTCTTGACCAGCACCTCCACCTGCCGGCCCTTGTCCTCGTCTTGGTACACGCCCCTGTAGATGCGCCCGAAGGTGCCCTCCTGCAGCAATGTCTGCGGGAAGATGGTGTTTCGCGGCGCCGCCAGGTCGCGCAGCCGCTCGCTCGGCTCAACCTGCCGCGGGTCCTGCAGCGTGCCCTGCGCAGCCAGCGCCATCTGTTGGCAAACGTAACAAGCAATGCAGTTTGGAGAGAATGCCGCTGCATGGCGCTGGTGTCGCGTGGACGCTCTTGCGCGGCTCAAGAAGCACTTAACAAATCACGAACCACATCCTGACGTAGTACAAACTTTGCACACTATTATTCAACATGATAATTAAATACTTTAATTATCAAGAGTATACTCCCTTTTGTGTTCCGCTAAAAGTAGGTCGAATTTGTAAAAATAGTACATCGCTCTACGTAATCTCAAAAATGGGCGGAGTCATGGAGAAACAGAATCAGGTAGGAAGCGCTTGATAATAGTGTGGTGTATTCTCACAAAATTAATTACATCTCTGTAAAGTGTGTACCTGAAGAAATTTTGTAATGTTTCAGAGTGTGTTTATAGTAAAAACATAACTGTCTTAAGTTACTGAGACTGCATAAGTCTTAAACATAACCATATTAATCTACTTCAAAATAATGTTTTTTCATGAAAATTTGGAATTTATTTTCAGTGTTTGTTGTGCAATGAGATGTGTGCTTTTCAATGCTTAGAAGCATTTGTTTCTAAGTTTGTTAGTTTTGTATGTATTTGTACTTCTCCGAATGCGGGCATATGCCACGTCTCACGGCCACTTGAAGATCAAGTGGTCATGATCGCAAAATATGAACGAAAAATTAAGATTTCGCGAGACATTTTTAATATGCAATTTAAACTATTGTACAATACAAATTTGGCGACATGAAAAGCAGACTATTCTTTTGGACAAATTCTTTCTTGGTGTAGGAGTACTGGTGTTCACAGACGACCGTTTTAGAGCTAAGAAATCTTAATGTGGCTTTTGCCTTAAGTTCCTTTTTCTCTTGTTTGGTCTGACTCAAAACATCATAACTATTCTAATTTAAAAATACCATTATGTTTCATTTATATATAATTGCAGAAAGTCAATTCTTGTCCCTAAACCTGAAATTGTTGTAGAAAATGCAAATTAGCAATAATAAATTACTCTGTTAATGTCTATTGTTACCAGTAATTTTTAAAAGTTCAAATTCAAATCCCTGCATAATATATACACGTGCCTTATGAAACTTCCAATATAGGTTTAGGCACTCAAGTATAATCTAAGTTACAGTCTTAAAAAATATTCAGAAAAAATGTTAAACTGTTTAAGAGTTATAATATTTAACATTGTAAATTGGTTTTGGAATGAAAAACGGGCATTTTCGGATGAAATAATTAAAATAGTGTTGTTATTTTTACTTTGTTAATGCCTAATCCAACGAGTAGGCCTAATCATGATTAAACTCAGATAAATGCCACAAATAAAAATTTTGAAACTCAGGTACACGAGTACCTCAACTAATTAGGATTTTTATTTTGTCAATATGAGGTAGAAGGGCATCTCATGAGAGCACTGTCAGTGTTGGCTGGGAGGCGGGAGGGCGCGTGATCGAGCCGGCGCGGCGCAAGGAGGAAGCTCTTGCGTCTGGGCCGGAGGAAGAAGCGCCGGCCCTAACGAGGGCGTCGCGGAGGCGCTAAGCCGCTTGCGGCCGCCGGCGCCTTGACGCGGCCGGGAGATCCATCACGCCAGGGGGCGGGGCGGGGCGGGTCGCTCGGGATATTGGCACCGAGAGGCTGCGCCGCTCGTCCTGACGCGCCAACTTGCTAACAAGCGCCCTCGGCACGCCGCCGCCGCCGCCTCCGTTGTTTCAATATCGAAACTTGGCGACCGCGAGGAGGGTCGTAATTAAAACTGCGCCCCGCCCGCCCTTGTTCGCCCCGCCGCCGGTCGCCGAGGTCAGCAGCCCCGGCCCCCTGCCCGCCCGCGCGGACTGCCCTCGCAGTTGATAGAAGTTCAAAGCCCCGTTTGAAGAGAACGTGCTTGAATACTGGTTATTGGAAACAATATGGGCGGGTCGAGCTCCAATGTATGTATTCGATTGAGGCCAGAGCTTGATAATTTTGAGATTGTAAAATAATCGTCGAACACCACATTGCACCACGTAATATATTGCGCCAGCCAGCTTAACGCTAGCTGATAATGCCCTGAAAGTGTCAGTTCAGTAAGTGCAATCGCAGGTTAGAAATAGTTTTCCCCAGTGATTTATGTTTGTTATATTGTCGTCAATCAAAATAATATTGTATGCCACGCATGCGTCAAATGCGTCAAAAATCTAATAGAGAAATTCAAAGTAAGGCCATGTATCATGAAGGTAAACAAAGAGGTCTCATTCACCAAATATCTCGTCTTAAATTCTTCCAACATGATTATTGATTGCATGCTAACTTTCTACCGTTGGCGCACTGACAAATGTAGTAGGGAATATTACAGTGTCAACAGCTGTCCCAACCCATGTCAACGTTTTTGAAATTAATGCGAATGATTTCTACATATTATTCTCCAACTACGCTCTTGTGTGATTTGAAATGAATGTCTCAATAATAGCACACTAATGAAATAAGGCTATTTCCTTGCATCAAGTTTTTCCCCACGTATGGTAGCCAAACGGGGGTATGGAAGGAATTTTTCACCGCGAGTTACAAATCAAATGACAAAATTTATCACGCAACGAGCGGCGTGGCTAATTGCTTTTCGTCTGAACCACTTCGTGGGAAGAGATTCCCGTTCGCGAAAATATCCTTTCTGAAATAATCCTGCACGTCTGTGAAATGTTAGAATCTCCTACCACTTTCCCTGTATTTGGTTTGAACAAGGGATGCAAACCCTTTTGATAGCTCGTTCGTACTGTCCTCGCCGATTTTAGCCAAGCAGGAAATGAATGAATGAAAAAATGAATGAATGAATGAAGGAAAAGAATGAATTATTAGACAAGGCGTCATCAGTGTGTGCTTTGAATTCAGCTTTTCACATTGTGGTAAAGATCTTGTTTAAAAACCTCATTTGTGATGGCCGAGACAAGGAAACCAATGGTAATATCGAAAAATATTGACCTTAAATGTCATGTCGAGAACAATGAAAATGTAAGAAAATGTTGAAAATATATTTAGTTATACATGCATTTCACACGCTCTCGCCTATAAGAAACAAAGATCCTTTTAAAAAGGAGTTCTTCTCTGACTAGGGATTAGAATTCATTTTCTAATTCCGACTAGCGCTCGTCTCTCTAACAATGAACTGTCACTCTTAAAATATCCTCACAGAAAATGTTCGCAGGGGGCTAATGCCAACTTTAGTGCGTGTCGAGCGGCTACGAACATGGCACCGCATCGAAGGCAACGAAAAATTATACATGAGGAGTAGATCGCGTCACTCCATAGGCCGGCTTATATAAGTCGCCTGAACGAGGAGCGCCGATGTAATGCGCTCTCTATACCTCTCACAGCCTTCATGATAACGCACTATGCTGGTCTAGTATGAGAATTACTTATTCAATTCCTTAACTACGTACATCTTTCATATTCGAACAAGGGGAGTGATTTATTCTGCTTCTTTGTCGCTGGAAGAGACAAGACGTCCAAGTACGGTACAAATCGCATTGTTAATCACGCGACTTCTGATTTTAACTCAGTGGCGAATATCTACTCAACGTTTGAAATGCGGGGCGACCCATGACATAAAGGTCTAAAACCCGAGTTGTAGCTTTTTACCATCGGGTACCGTGGTTTCAGTTCTGGTTGATCCTTGTGAAATTTGACATGGGTACAGTGGGTTCGCAGCTGGTCCACTTTCAGTTTCGCAGGCCTCCAGTGTCATCATTGCTTCATGATCATTCCGTCTATTTCATTGCACTCATCTTTGGATCTAATCATTCAAGATTTCAGGTATGAACGAAGGTTTAGGTATTGAATTTTATAGTTAAGCGTAAGATATATGTTGGTATACTTCGTTCCTTATAATAAGTTTCTGGAAAATATTCTTCCAAATTCGTTCCCCTATTTTTTGAAAATATAAAAGAGAGTAGCTACCATATTTTTCGTGTATACTTGTTTCCACATTAAGAAAGTGATGTAACAATAGGCCTAAAGCAGAGAAAGAAACGAGAAAACTGTCTCTTAAAAAAAAAGTATGTTGTTGACGAAATAAAAGAGAACTTGTAATTCAAAACCTAAAGATCACAAACGCTGTTGAAGTTGAGAGGAGTCAAATACCAAGAAAAAAATATCAATAAGGTGTTAAATAAATCTACCCTTGCATCAAATTGAAGAGGCCGAATAGGCGAAATTGGAGGATGAGCTTACTAACTTGATCGGGTATGATTGTTGCCATTACCCTACTTTGACCCTGAGAAAAAAACGGAAGAAAGAAATGTGGAACTCCCCCATTCACAGTTGCGATGGAGTTGGGAACGCCAGAGTCTGGCTAACCCCGGAACAAATCCAAAGATAGTCCCCGCTTCGATGCCGGCGCAGGGCGGAGGGAGTCAGGAGCTGGTGTGCATTCGGTATGGTTAGTAAATTGCCTCTTTAGCACTTCCGACACCGACACCAAATTTTTAAGTTTGCGCTACGGTGGCCCGTTCCTTCTCCACTGCCCATTTGTCGGCGGAGCGGAGCGCTGGCAGTTGGAGCTCCAGTTGCGAACCGCCGCTACGCGCCGCGAGAGCACTCAGCGGCGGCGCGGGGAAGCGATACGGATCCGAGCCGCCTCTCCGCCCACGCGCCTCTCGCCCGCACTCACGCGCCTTTCCTTCGCCCTCCCACGGCGCGCGGTGCTCTCGGCTGCCACGCGCCGCCTCTTCCTTTCGGGTAAGCCATTACTCTCCGATTTAAACTTGGCGGCACATCGTCACGTGCTGGAAGGAGAGGACGACACCATCATCCAATCGGGAGCTCCGTTACGACTTACATTTTTGGTACCGGAGCTCCCGATTAGATGACATTGTTCCTCTCTACTTCTAGTTGGTGACCTTGAAGTGCCACTGTGTATAAATCGAAGATAGTTACCATTCTGCTTTAAACAAACAATGAAGCTGTTGATTCGGCTGCACTTCACCATTTTCCACTTCTGTTTGTCCGTGTTTACTAGTGAAAATACTCACCAACGGTGAGCG